TTATAACCGAAAGTAAAATGAATAACAATCTAAGGTCAAATTTATAATTGACACATTTCTCCTGACCTCTTTTAATCAATCAAGATATCTTAACATATTCTTAATTCCTTAGAAATAATCATTCATTTATCAACCTTTTTTTTTCATATGCACCAATTTTCGATTATAGAATATATATTCGTATGAAATCCCGCCAGAAGCATTGAGAACAGAAGCAGGGACAACAGCGTAAATGCTCATACCACTATTCCAGAAGGTAAGAAAGGAAGGAAAGGCATTCGGGGATTGGAAGAAGGGATACCTTGTCAAACTCCTAAACAAGGGCGACCGATGTCTTAACAAGAACTGGCCAGCAATCATGCTCCTGTACACCCCAAGCAAAATATCAAACCGTATCAGCATGCAGAGACTAACGGATACGCTGGATTCAAAACTAAGAACAGTACAGGCTGACTGGATTCACATAGAATCAAATTGGCACTCTGCACTATGCATCATCATACAACAGATCATAGAATGACAGTCAAATCTCCACCTCAACTCAACTTCATCCACTTTGAAAAGGCCTTGGATCCAGGCGTCGACCGACAGGTAATTTGGTGACTGCTCCAACACCATGGTTTCAGTACCACAAACCTTCATCAATCTCATTCAACAAGTATATGAAGACGCCACATACCAAGCAACTCACAATGCGAAGTCCAGTGATGCCTTTGAAGTGAAGTGAAGTGAAGACAGGAAGGAGTAAGATAAGCCTGTCTACTATCACACATGATCTTCCTGATTGTCGTCGACTCGACTGGATCATGCAAGAAAGAGTGAGGAGCGAGAATGAGGGGATAGGCTGACTGGACCGAGGGAGAGGTCCTAGGAGATTTGGATTTCGCTCATGACGATTAGTGTCTAATGTCTTGTGGCACCAACTCGAAGATCAACAGGCCAAAGCCAAGAAGTTGACAGAAGAGGTAGGGTAGAGTAGGGCAGTGAAGATGGGACTGTGAGTGAATGTAGAGAAGACAGAAGTGATGAAGATACCCAGCCAACAACGCCACCAACAACAGCAAGTGGCTCGAATCAGTTTGAACGGGAGAAACTTGAAGGAAAGAAGGAAGGAAGGAAGGAAGGAAGTAGCCGTATTCACCTATGTAGTCATTTCAGCATCGTTTCAACTGGAGGTGGCACAGGCAGAGACGAGGAAGTCGAAAGGAGTCAGGATGGGGAAGACAGCAAGACAGGTGTTCATTAATCTGAGATCAGTGTGGAGATCTTCTACAATCAGCATAAAGCGTGAACAGCATTCTGATATTCAACATTAAGTCAGCCACGTTAGTGCTTCTATGGTTGGTTCTATGATTGAGAGACTCGACGTGTGGTGAAGATCATTTCCAACAAACTACACACATTCATCAGCAGCTGTCTACGCTGGTTCGTTACTGACGATGGAATCAGCTGGTAAGGCGAGAAAGAATAAACAACAAGAAATTGTGTCGTGTCAAGGAACCAATGAAGCAAGAACCTATCACTCATCAAATATTCAGTGGAAGGAATTGGAGATGTATTGGATTTGGCATGCACTGAGAAGACCGTTGGGGGACATTACGCGTCAGTGCGGGTCATGGAGTGGAACCTAGATGGGAAGCGACGAGTTGGGTATCCCAGCTGAGGGTGATATGGAGGAGATGGTGTGAGGAATAAATGAGAGCTTGTGGGCTGTGTTGGAGCGAGTGCAATGGATATGTGCTACTGAATCTTTATGTCCCACTAGGAAGGTAAGGGATGAATTATATATATATATATATATATATATATATATATATATATATATATATACACGGTGAGCTGTCAGTTTCTCTGTATGAGTGATTCAGTAGCTTAAACTGACGAACTGGTTTGTGATGTCTTGTTTCCTCCGATTGCGGTGTCATCGACTGGCTGCATAGATTTTCATTTTGGATTTCCTTCTACATGATCTCTCACCTTTCTGTCCTTCATCATTTTCCTCATTCATAGTTTGATTAGATCTATGTCCATACATCTATTGACTACTGACTGACTGACTTACCTGAATATCAGTCTTCTAGGAATTCTTTGGTGATATTGTTTATGTTTCCTCTCTCCACCGAAGATTTCTGCAGTGTCGAGATTGAATTCATGTCCATAGTTGTTATCCACATGCATTGAGCAACGAGTGGTGAAATGTCATGTGTGAGGTTTAATAGCCAATTGGTGTTCATATAGACGAAGGTGAATGTGGGCGACCACTTTGTGCAATGTAGTGTTGACTACAATTATTGCAGTTGATTTTGTAAATGATATTCGGTTTGTCTTTGGTCCTTGGTTGTTGCATTCTTTGGTCTGCGTAATAATGTTTGTAGGGAATTTGTTTAGGATGTCTTTTAAAAAGACGATGAAAGCTTCACGACTAAACAACACAGCTCGGGAAACACAATACAACCAATATATACATGGACATGAATGTGGTTCGGTAGTTCATTACTACTAAGACTTTCTTTTACTTCTGTCCATACTCTTGTGAGGAGGTGTAGATTTCTTTTTTTTTTGAAGTTATTGAGAAATCAGGACCCATAAGTTGCAAATTCTTTGTGAAATGGTTGAAAATCAGTGACAGTGGTGCAGATGTATTCATCCTTTTGACATCTACAACTTCCTTTTTGAATTCCCTCTCCTTTGTTACTTAGCTATCCACTTGTTCCTTGAGTATAACTTTGAAATGTAGTAACTTGTCATGATGCAGTTTTATGCGAAGTTCTGCGTTGAGTCTTTTATGTGTCTATCTTTTCATCTTGTTAATTAAACTGAATAGATCGGTTCTTATTTGGATATACGGTTCTGTATCGTTCCCCAATATTTCGGGTATTTTGAGTTTTCGATGTTAATGACAGATTGTGACCACTGTTGGAATTCAGGAGACACTTTCATCGTATTTGGAATTCATAGGGTGTAACATTAAAACTATCCTATACCCGCTATGCGAAGAGCTGCTAACGGGATTCAATGTTTCTGGAGTCTGAAGCGATTTTTTCGGGGTTCGAGTCTCATAGTCGACGCCGTCGCTCACTAGAAGATGGTACATCCAGCTGACGAGTCCTCAATGGGAGGAAATACACACCCTAAATTTCACTACTAGACACTAACTGTTATTCATATCAGAGCTCAAGATACTAACATCCACACACGAGGCCATATCCGAATGGTGCTTAATCAGTTCGGTCTAATCAACGACTGAGATCCATAAGCTATGATATCACAGCCAGACATATTGACTGTCCTTGTGACACATAGATACAAAGCAGGAGGAGGTTGAAACAAGGTTCATAATGAAGGTGATAATGATTCACTAACTAATTATAATGAAATCGAAAAGAATGTTGTGAAAGTGTTAAGACCATGGTAAGATAAAGAATGAACATACTTCTTTTGGACGCAGAGATCAGGCTCGAATTGATGAATTGCCAGTGCTTCTCCATTGCACAACTATCAAAGGCGTACTATTCCATTTGACTCTATGAATGACACTGAAGGAGGATTCTAATAGAGTGATATTTCTAGAGTTGACTAAACGTTCAAAAATTGAACTGTTAATTGACTTACATTCTCCCTTCGACAACCATACAGGATAGTGCTCAGCGATGCGTTTGGAACGTGCGCGCTTTTTGTGTTCTATATAACTAGCTCCACAGGAGCAAGCAAATTTTTAGATACAAACTGAAGTAGCCCAAAGCGACAATATGTTCTTAAGGCACTCCGAAACCAATTGCTGATGAGAGAAGCTGATTTATAGCTTTGCAGAGAAAAATGTCTTCTTCAGGGATTTCGACAGCTAATTTGTCAGAATCTCTACTCTCAAATCACCTTTGAAACCAGAGTTAATAAATAAGATCTTCTTTGGAACTGTGAGTACTTGCTCTGTATTCTGTTTTAATTTCAAGTTCTCAATAAATCTACATGGGTATCGATTTTGCCTGAGAATCTTCCGTAGTTTGTGCAGTTCATCGTCGATAGTATCACTTGTGCATATTCTTCTGATCCTTGATGACAAAAAATGAATCAGATTTTTTTTCCACTTGAGAGGCAGTTAGTTATGGAAATTCAAGTATTGTCCATTCCATGTTGGATTCTTATAAATCAATCTCTGAAAAGAACCATCTGATTTCCTTTTCAAACAAGACATCGAGAAAATGAAATTCTGAGTTCTTTTCAAATGTCTATGTGAAGTTGACTGATTGGTGACAATCGCAAAACTTTTTAATTACATTCCCAATATTTGTACTTTGATGATATCTGATGAGTGTATCATCCATATATCTTTTTTGTGGATAAAACTAGAAATTGTTGAATAGAGTACATTACTCTCTTGACCAATCAGCTACCAGCGGTCCAAGTGACAATCCCATAGTGACCCTTATCCTTTTTTCGATTCGCATTTCTTACCTACCAACAATTTTCAACCATGTCAAACCTTTTACACTATCTAAGAGACTATTACATAACTACTTTCCATTCTTCATTTCGGTTCATCTTAGCACTAGCTGGCTCAGTGATGCAATTATACACTATTGTTAAATGATAGACCGTTATATACATATGATAAATTTATACATAAATACTATTGTACAACTTAAGAAAAAGGATATCATCGGAAAAGAAAATTTTCTTAGCTGAATTATGTCTTACTAATAAAGATAAAAGTAAGGATAAAATGTAAGTTTAAAACTTTCTCCAGTTTACAGGATATGAATATAGCTAATGATAAGTGCAGTCTGGCAGGGTTCTCATTATTTCATTGGTTGAATCCCTTAAACGAATTGCTTTTACTTCAAAATATGTAGAAACTCAGAATAACTGGTGCTTTTACTTTATCATAAACATATTCTATGCATCCGGTTACTTATTTAAAGTATTATTCAAAGTTTTTAGATAAAAACAGTATTTATAAACAGATAAATATCACGGAAAAAAAGAAAAGAAGTACAACTTACAGTTTAGGAAAGTTATAATCCACACTATCACTACGTTGACTAGCTGATTGTGTTGTACTGTCTTGCCTATTCTGTAGCATCATTGAAACACGTCTTATCCGTTGAGAAAGTTCACCATCATTACTTAGGCTACTTTTTATTAAAGGTAATTTAGGTACATGCAAGGAGATTGTATTCAATGATTCTGGAGATTTGTTAAGTTGATTTTCTGTTAGACGACTAATCCCATGATTAGTACTGGAGATATCTAATTTCATTGGATGACATTTTATGAAATGGTTTTCATTCTGTAAACAAAAGTGAAGGATTATATTCATATATTTTACAATTCAGTAAGCAGTGAACTTCTTAATTGTTTCAACTAAAACAATTATTGAATAAGAAAAGCACATTATATATATCGTTATATAACTTATTTACTTCAACATACTTAGGTGTATATCTCAGTGATTGCCTTTGACAGATAAACTAGACACTTTAGTTTGTCTAAACAGATAACTGGACCTAAAAACGGATCATGAAGCCAATAGTCCTTGTCGAATTTATCACATATATTCGCCAAGCTGTAAGACATCAATGAAGTCATCAATGGTTGACGAAATTCAGGAGACAGTGGACTATGTATATGACAGGTGATTGGATCAACTTTAAACTCTTTACATCTGAAGGTACCAGAAACTTTCCATTATACACATAAATTAGAAGAATTTATACGGATGATGTAGTAAATGAGGAGGTGGAAAGACATCGAAGAGTAGTAATCAAGAATGGTTATCCTTCAAGATTCACTCAAATGAACATGGAGCCTAAGAATTTCAAAGAAAAACCCCCTATAATCCAAAAGAAGATACTGTTTTTGAATATTAGATCCAAGAGAGATAGATTGGCAGGGATACTGAAGAATTGACTATGCAAAGCCCTGGAGTAGATTTTCTTTTCCACCCAGCTTCTGTGTTTCATCTGCTCTTCTGGAGTTGGTTACACAGGTCAGACAAAGCGTGTTCTATTCCATCACATCTCCATACACTATTCTACATGGCTGTCTAAAGGATAGTGTACAGCCGTCAACAGGTCGATTCTTGAACATTTGGTTAACTCTAGTCACTTTACTCCACAACAGCCTTTCTTCAAAATCATTTATATAGTGAAGGCAAACATTTAGAAGCTAGTATGTGATCACCACCTAAACATACAGGAAGCTGTGGCAATCCAGCACTACAAGTGTGCTGTTTGTCTTCGAAAAAGGGATACATTCAATCTCTAATTTTGCCTTGGTCGTAATCTCCACAAGACATTTTTTTCATTTCTTTGATTATTAACTATAATCCTATCTAGAAGTAGTATTCATCACCGACTGATATCAGTTGAGGAACCATTGAAAATCTGGAAGGACTAGATGGCTGTTTCATCCTAGTGTGGGATTCCTTGGCAGTACGCACTATGATGGATACTACTTCCAATTAGAAATCCCCATTCATTTCAAAATACACTACTGTATACAGCTCATTAGTGACTTGCTTCCAGATGGATATCACGAAGGTATAATGACAAGTTGTGACATGTGGGGTCAACCAGTCAGAAGTGAAGTGGATGCTAACTGAAAACGTTAGGTGATAGGCGCGCTATTTCGTGAACTGAGAGAAATTGGAAATTGTGAAGCACTGGAAACCGACCGAGTGACTGAATGGTTAACGCGTTCGCTGTGAAACCTGAAGGTTGTGATTTCGATGCGTGGTGGGGTCGTGGGTGCGTACTGCTGAGGATTCCCATACTAGGAGGAAACAGGTGTTCGGTACTCTCAGATTTCCAATGGTTCCCCAACTGATGTTAGTTCATGATGAATACTACTTCTAAATTGAAATCCTCGTTCATGTCAAAAATATAGAATCCTATCAACAATTTTTGATGACCTTGAGGGTTGACCTTCTAGCCATAATCCCCTTGTAACTTTATTGACCCAATAGGTATATTTTCAAAAACTGTTTTGTAGGTTAAAATGAAGGAAGAATATCACAATGAACTTTTAAATGTATAACAATACATCCTAATTGTTGATGTCTAATCGTTAAGTCGAAATCCAGATTTTCTAAATGACTGATTGAATCACCAGTAACAACTAACTTACCCAAGCTTTTCGATTCACTTCTATTACTCTTCAGATTAGACAATAGCCGAACAATAGTTCGCCGTTTTATATTATTCCTTATAATATTGTTATTAATAACATTCCTAGGATGTTATTGTTATCTTGTTGCGAAAATTGTACACTGATTATATCTGCTGGAAGATCACATGCTAAGAATTCTATACTGTATGTATCATACAGAATGTTTCGAATAAACTGATTATTATTATTATTATTATTATCAAAGTGGATGATTAGGAAATTTGATATAATCTTGAAAACAGTTTACTTTCTACTGTAAAGTTCATTCAGCGGCCCTTAAGTCGTAATATCTTTGTATTTTCCAGAGCATATAGGCTGATTAACAGAAGATTGATGTGTGTAGACAAAATACTATCAAAAACCACGCAGTATAAATCAGGTTCATGGATAAAATGGCAAGAAAAATGTAACAGACATGTGAATGCCAAAAATTTTTTAGAGTGACTTAAAATCATGCAAAACCACATTAGTTTATCGTGTAAAGCACCTTCCTTTACTTGACATTTTATTTATTAACTAGAAGGGAAGAGAAGTCGATTAAAAGATCATTAGACCTGATAGTACCTACATTTTCATAGTTTCTTTCCAATATAGTACAAACGAGGTTAAGTAGAATGCTTATTCAGCAGGAACCAACGTGTCTACACAACAGATAAATTGCAAGACACTCAAGGAAAAAGAGAATATCCTCTGAAGTTCGTCAATCGTTATAAAAATGTCTTAACAGTGAAAACTAATCAGTATTCTGTGCAGAAGGAGGACGTTTACATCACACTGTCATATGAAACATCATGATCTTAATAATAAAAAGCATACTGTGCAGCCTAGTTCAATATTATAGACAAACTAAAACTAATGGTTCAAAACACACTTCATCAATTCATAAATGATTACGTAATGTCCTTCTGTGTATATGAATTTACATATGTGTACGGTGACACACACATTGTAAGAAGTAATTGAACTATAGAGTCAAGGGTGCAGAAGCTTATCTCTTAATGGTTAGAAAAAACAGATACATTCAAATAATGCGATAAATACAAAGGGTAGACGAACATCATCGTCGATAGGTAAACAGATTGTAGAAACAGGTCACACGATTGTCCCCAAAACAACTTTCAGACCATTGTATAGGAGCTGTCAAAACCGTATACTTAGGGTTAATCGAATCCTTAGCTATATTAAAAGTTTAAGCTCTCTTTGTGTACTTAAAAACAGTTTGCCCTTATCTTAACCTATCCAAATGAATTGCCCAATTATGCACCTCCATCTTCTTATTGAATTATGTCAGTTTATCAAAGGGATTAACAAAGTTTTCGTAAAATTCCTGAAAAGAATGGATATTTCTTCAGATTAAATGTAATAGACTTATGACTTTATTAACGAATAACACCTGTTAGATAAAACGTTGCAATCACAACTCAACGGTAGTAATAATTCGTGATGTACACATTAAGACAGCGCCTTTTGTATCTCAATCTCAGTAGATAACCTGGACAACAGTTTCCAAGCAGCTTTGCATAGAGAAGTAAGGTTCCATCATTCAAAAGTTATCCTACAGAATCTTATGACATTTTACAAACTACACACTTCAGTAAAAAAGAAAACTGTTGTGATACGAAGGTAAAAACACATCTGTGAAGGCGAAAAACCTTTCGAATATTCAGTACATGGAAGACTAGCGAATAAATTGGTTTGATAATCTGGATACTACTGAATTAATCATTGGTAAAATCTTCGTGAACTACCTCTCTGATACAAGGTAAAAAAAACAGATTTGTAGGGACTGGTTGACTTCAAGGAAGTATTTATTACCGACTACTTCTTCCAAGTGTAAAACAATAACCTCGTCATTGATCGAACACAGCACTACCACGCCTTGTGAACAGCACTTTTTCGCTCAGTCATTCTATCAGAACCCAGCACAGACAACTGACTAGTGAATATGTTGGAAAGGGAAACAGAATGGATGGCTTAGGAAAACTGAAGACAATAAGACAATCCAGTAGAAACCGAAGGAGAATGCAGCTAGATGACGAATAAAATAATCCTCAAGAAAGAGATATTCACCAATGCCCTATGATATCCTATCAGTTAATGAATGCAGTCTCCTTAGTCAGCAATAGTTAATCCAGCTCAGTAAGTCATATTATTTTTATTACAATAGACATTTTAATTTCAGGCAGTCTGAAGGTGACAAGTCATATCACTGTGAGTAACAACTTAAATGGTCAAATATACTACTGTTGAAAAACTTGAGTAGTCAAAAACTATTCAGGCTTATCTATGGATTTCATCAGCCGGCCAGATCACAGTGATCTACACAGAGAACGACCATTTCGTTTGTTTGATGTGCTTGGAAAGCTATGGGAAATATCAATGCAGGCCATTCTTATTTCAGGCATACTGGTCCATTCAAGCGAACTAGCCAGATTCACGTGATCTAAAATAATTCGGCTGTATGACCTGACTCGACCCCTAGCGGGTGAGACAGCCGTCCAGTGATTAGACCAACTTCATCTGGCTGGTTAGTGAAGTCTACAGATTGACCTGAGTGGTTCATGACTAATCAGGTTATTAGACAATGTGTTTCGATGTTTCATGACACTTTGGTGTCAGAGATCAGATCTTATGATCTTGTCTGACGGGTGATTTCCAACAGGAACCCTAGTGAGGCAGCAGAACGGTTGCAGTTAAAAGACCACTCAGCTATGATAAATGTTAAAGTGGATCAGAAAATTTGTAAATCGTTCGTAAACTGATCATCTTAGCTACAAGGATGATAAAAGGTATAGCCAAAGTCGAATCTATTTAAACTTCAAAAATCAACGAAAATTGGAACACATCAAAGAAGTAAATTGAAAATCTTTATGAAAACTTTCAAGAAAAAGGGGAATTACTAAACCTATAAACATTCAAAAAATAGTCACTACGTTGAAGATAAAGAAAATTTTCAAAATTATTCATACAATAGAGATGTTATGAATGTGCATGAAACGTTTTTGAGTGCCATTATAAAAATATCTAATAAATGAAATTCCAGGATGTTTTGAACACTCAGCTACTTCAGTAAAATATTATAAAAAGCCACCTACAAGGAAATAATATTCGTTTTTCTGT